TCAGATTGTTGATATTCTTTCCTCCTATTTTCACTCCTTCTTCTGTGTTCATGCTTGCATTTCTTATAATATGTTCTGCATACAAATCGAACAAATAGCATGGAAGGATGGAGCCTTGTCTGACTCCTTTTCTAATTGGGAACCATTCTGTTTCTCCGTCTTCTGTCCTGAGAGTAGCCTCTTGTCTTGAGTTCAGATTCCTCCTCATCAGGACTATCAGATGTCTTGGCACTCCCATCATGTCTTCAAGGGCCTTCCATAGCTTTTCATGGTCTATATGCAGTCAAAGGTTTTGCTGTAGTCTATAGAGGCTTCCAGGGGGAGTAATTTTGATAATCATATTTTTATTTGCCATGTTTTTTCTTTAATGCACACAACTAATTAATGGTAATTTTGCTGAGATGCTAAGCTAAATATATGGGGGGAGGGCGGAAGAGTTTGATCTTCATCTTATATTTGTCTCTCTTTTTTCTTTTCAGCACATCTCTGTTTTAAACTAAAGTCAGAGTTGAACATGAACTCTTTAATGGAGCTGTATAAGCTATATTTTTGCATTTCTAATATTTTTTCCTATGGAAAATATTTATGTAACTCATAACATTAAATTGTTGTTGCACCTTACTTGCGCCACCTGGTAGAAGAGGATGGGGAGCTTGCTGTTAATCTTCTTTTCTAAAGGAATAAAATTAGCATGGTATAAAAGCTTAAGAGGAAAAGCCTTAAAGTAGGATGGCCAGTCATTGCCATCCTCATGTTTTGCAGACCTTAATATTTTGTACTGAGTAATGAGGAGTAAGAAGATCTAGATTTAGAGCTTTTGGAACAAACTGCTATTTTTCAAAAAAAAAAATAAGTAATTGGCTGAAGTGGGGGGAGGAGGAGGATGTTGGATTATTAAGATGTTGTTGCACTCTTAATTCCCATCAGCCCCAGTCAAGCTGTCTGTTGGCCAGGGATGATGGGAGTTGGAGTCAAACATCAGCTGGAGGCTAACAGCTTCTGGAATGGGGTGATTATGGCTCCAGAATGAAGGTAATTTGACACTGCTTTACCTGCCATGGCTCAATATTATGGGATTCTGGGATTTCTGCTTTTGTGAAATATTTAGCCTTCTCTGTCAGGGAGCTCTGGTGCCAGACCAAACTACAAATCCCAGGATTCCATAGCATGGAGCCATGGCAATTAGTGCCAAACTGCATTAATTCTGCATTGTAGCAAGTCTTTGTGTGCAGAGCTAATTTTTTGCTGCAGAGTCGTAGATAGAGTTAAAAAAATAAACTAGTTTTTATTGGAAAGATTGGCTACTCCACGGTTGGAAGTCATGCTGCTATCCAAATATTGTTAGACTTCAAGTCTTAGCAGCTCTAGCCAGCT